ATGCACCAGACGATGCGTTCTGCAGTTGAGTTGTTTGAGCATACCAATCACCAGCAAAATGTTCTGTTCAATAACTTTCTTTAATTTATTTTCAATTGTACAAGAGTTGGACGACGGTTTCAAAGGTCAAGGTCAGGCGTTTGCGCATCTACCTTAAGGATACGGAGAGTTGCCCTGCGCGATTATCAGAAAAATGCTAGGTATTTCAATTTTAAAACTGGTGCAGCAGTAGAGGTAAAAAGAGGTGCAATCTGTTATTACTTTCCTATCGCCGCAATAACATGGAAATTCGACAATACTCCTTTCCCCCCTTGCCCAGGCTTCAAAACGGTAAATTTTCAAATCAAAACGCGTTTTAAATTGCTGTATAACAAAATAAAAATAAAAAATGTAATTATATCAGCAGAAACAGAGCAAACAGAAAGTAAAAGTTTGCTAGAGCAAAAAAAGTTTAGGTGCCCACTTAAACTCTTAAAAGCGAGCACTTCTAGGCTGTGTGTGCGCCAGACGCTTCGGCTACCTAGACAAAAGTTTTTTCATTGCCACTTGGATTGAAGCAAAGTGGAAATGTGTTTACCGAAAAAAGTACAAAATGAAGTGAAGCAAATTTAATTAAATTATAAATTTTTTTATTGCAAAATAGCGCAATTGTATTAACTGAAAAAAAACGAAGAGACAGCACCCAGTTGCTAGGCACTGCTGGTAGCAGCAATTACTCTGGTGCTTTTCATCACTCTGTGCTCTTATTTATGACATTGACTAGCACTACACTTTCGTTGCATCCTTCTTTCTTTCTTTCTTTCTTTGGTAATTAGTGCTGTTTATCACTGGCCCNTTAAATTATAAATTTTTTTATTGCAAAATAGCGCAATTGTATTAACTGAAGAAAACGAAGAGACAGCACTCAGTTGCTAGGCACTGCTGGTAGCAGCAATTACCCTGGCGCTTTTCATCACTCTGTGCTCTTATTTATGACATTGACTAGCACTACACTTTCGTTGCATCCTTCTTTCTTTCTTTCCTTCCTTGGTAATTAGTGCTGCTTATCACTGGCCTATCACCATAGCATCTTCTGCTTATCAATAGTTTGCACTGAGTGTTGGCAACACTGTCTCAACAGCACTTCTACATCACATCAGTTATCAGCTTTATCAGTTGGTGTAGTTGCACTTGTGTTTTTCGTAAGTTTGTTGTTGAGATGAGATGAAAACTTGTCGTGAGGTTATGTCAAAAACAATTTTAAAAAAATAATTTTTTCTTTGCACTAGTGGCACCTAGCGTCGAAGAACGTGAATTGCTTAAAAAATTTTATTGTAACATAATTTTTTACTTTTGTTTGTCCTATTTCAAATTGCCTGATTGAGATCAAGATTGCTAGTGATACAAAAGCAGTACTTCTCCAGTATTGAATCATCAATACAGGCAGACTGGTTTCCATAGGCATTCAATCGCGAGATGTCACCAATCAGGTGAATGTGGGGCACTTTGGCGGGCAGCAGTGACTCGGCATGATTGAGGCGCAGCAGCGATGAGTTGTCCACTCGAAGGGTCGCATCAAAGAGTCCACCACCAGGCTCCAGTACAGCCTGTACTGTAAAGAGGTCACTGCCATCAGCAGACAGTGGCTCAGTGCGAATGAGCACCTCTTCAACCTGGTCCAGCTGCAGCTGGGCACACTTTGGCTCACCACCGAGCAGCAGATTCACCTGACCGGCGACAAAGTGGCCCAAAATCGCCTTTGCCTCTTCTGTGCCGCTGCGCCAGTTGTCAAACTGCGAGCAGAGACACCACTTTTCGCTAATTCCCGCCGACTCGCAGGTTCGATCAGGTGGAATTGGCGTGAAGAGCGATCTTCCATACGGCTCATCATCAGTTGTAGGTGCTTTCTTCTCCACAATGTGGCGCAACGTAGCGTGCAAATCAAAATGGCTCGTCAGGCGATGTGCATTCGCACGAAGTGTTGCTCTCAGCTGTTCCGCCGGTGTTTTCCGACTGTTGTCACCCGTTTGCTGTTGGTTTCCCTCAGGAACAAAGAGGTAGAAGAAGGGCAGGCGTTCCTCCATTTGCCCTGAACGGGTTCGCCGCATGCGGCCAAAGCGTATGCCGTGGTCTGCCAGCAGGAAGATGAAGGTGTTCTGGGTGATGCCTCGCCGAACCAGTTCACTGAGCAGCTGGTGCAGTGGCTGGTCGGCCTTGCCAGCCGCCCAGAAGTTGTTGTGCGTCAGGTCGGCCAGGTGGGCGAAGGTGAAGAAGGGCTGGGCTCGGTCTTTTAGAGCGGTCACTTGGTCGAGAATCCAGGAGTAGTAGTACTGCAAAACAGTATTTTATTTT